TGATCTTCACACATGCACACACACATACACTCACATACACACAAAATGAATAAAACAGAATGAAAAACAGCATGTATAAAAAGCCTATCAGAGTCCCTGTGCGAACTACAATAAGCACCTAAATATTAGGGGTTATTTTCATTGATAATATTCTTTTTGATCGTCGTCATCATTTGGATCGACGCTAATACTATCCAGGCACACGAACGAAGCAGTAAAGCCTATTTTTACACAGCGGGAACTGGGAACTTGCTGACGTTCACACAAGTCTGCTCTGCATTCCCTGGAATGTGCCAGTTCCCTTTCACTCCCCCTGCTCCTCCATCCGGCAGCCGCAACCCTCAGTGTTGCAATATTGTATTGGAGGCAAGGTCAAGTCTGCCGGCACTCACAGAGAAAGCATTCTCTTCCTTGTGGAAACCAGGGCTTTGGGGTTAACCTCTCACCAAGGGTGGCTGCAAAAGGCTAAAAGCTAACATTAGTGGGTGAGCCAGGGCATAGCATTGGGAAGTGAGCCCTGAGCGCTTTAACTGTCTTGGCAGGATGTTCAGGGCTGCCAACCCACCCAGGCCTCCTAGAGAGGGGGAAGTGGAAAGTATCTGGCCCTGCCTGCTGGACACCTGGCAGATGATCAAGCAATGGGTAGTAAATACATCTAGAGCTGGCAGACAGGATTTGGGGGAGGGTCGGAGTGCCAAGCCTGGGCTTGACTGCCTTACCAGGCCACCTATGGAGGAGATCTTGAGGATTCCTCTCTGTCTCCTGCATCTGGCAGGAAGGATGCTGGCTTTTGTGATGGAAACCACTCCGTGACTGGCTCAACCATTCACAGTTGAGCTAGAAGGATCTCCAGGGACCTTGGGCCTCCTCATTTTGCAGATAAGAGACCTGGAACCCAGAGAGGGTATGTGACTTCTCTTGAGCCTTTCAGGGTACCACGGCTGTTGAAGGTGGTTTGTTAGCTTCAGCCCTGCAGGCCTTGCAGCAAGCAAGCAGGCTCCCCCTCTGCAGCAGAAGGAGCACCCCCGGGGAGCATCTTAGGAGCTGGTATTCTGGATTGTTTTATGAACGGACTGGTAGTTTATCCAAGGTAATCTCGACCTTGGGTTGTTTCCAAGGAAGCTGCTCCTGCAGGTTGACTCTGGCCTTTTCGTAAACTAAGTAGGCTGGAGTCTCCATGCCCGAGCAGCTGGCTCTCAACGGTGTCTAGGAGCTTTTGTGGGAGAGGGTTGACACGCATGCAGATTCTCTAATTTACAGTGACGCGGGGAATATGTGGAATGTTAACAGGGGAGGCGAATCTCGCTTAGAGCCCACCAGGGAAAAGATCTGCCGAAACCTGAGCTTCCTCGCCTGGGCTGCGAGTGGGCAAGCAGCCCATTGAGGAAACCTCAGAGGACAGGACTGGCTGGCTCAAGTTTCCCTGTGAGCAGCGGGGCCATGGATCCCTGGGAGATACTGTGCTGTTTCTCAAAGGTCATTGCAGGGCTTGATTTGGTTTTGCCTGAAGATGAGAAACGCGTCTGTGAGAAACCACCAAGCCCCACCCCAACCTGGAACCAGCGTTCACACCTATTAGTTTCATGCCCATGCCAGTGGCTGGGACTCTGGACAAAGGAGGTCTAGAAATGGCCCCAGATGGGGAAGTCTTTGCTTTTGGAAATTGTTTTTCCTTTGCATTTTTTTTATGTGGGGTCTAGGGATGATGCAAATAGGAAAACGGGCCACTGGGTTTAAAGCCTATCACAAGGTCATGCAGGTCCTTTCTTCTAAGACTCTCTCCCTTTGTTATAACCGTGTCGAGAAATGTGCAAACGCAGAGGTAGGCCCAGACTTGAAGACACGTAGAAGAAGCTCTAGCGGGTCTGAGCTCTAGCGGGCCAGAGCTACACACTTTCATCGAGTGTGTGTGTGTGTGTGTGTGTATTTAGAGAGAGAGAGAGATAGACAGACACACACACACAGATTGTGGTGTATATACATATGTGGAAGCCAGAGGAAGGCACTAAGTGTCCTCTGTCACTCTCCCCTATTCCTTTGAGATAGCGTCTCTCCCTGACCCTGGAGCTCACAGGCAGCAAGCCCTAGAAATCTTTCTGTCTTTGCCTCCCACAGAGCTGGGGTTATAGATACATGTGTGCCTACTCCTGGCTTGTTACATGGGTGCTGGGATGCACACTAGTCCTTACGGTTGTACAGCAAGTGCTCTAAGCCATCAAACCATCTCTCCATCCCTCTGCTCTCAGATTCTGCCGACCCTTCAGCCAACCTTGCCCCTCACCCTACACCTGGGACTGATTTAAGACAGGTGAGACTCCCACGCAGCCTTCCCCTTTCTCCAACTACCCAGAAATCCCTTCAGTCTTTGTCCAAGTAGAGAGAATCTTTTCTGCAGCTTGGCTCCATTTTGAAGGCAAGAACAAGGGTGCCCTGGTTTGTTGACTGGCATTTCATCCTCTGCCAAAGAGCTGGGGTGATCTGAGCTGGACAGATATGGGTTTACGTCTGTCGCTTAGTCACAGTAGGGCAGTTGTCTCTTACTCAGTCTCTTCTGGTCAGTTTCCTCAGCTCTAAAACGGGTATAACATTGGTCCCTACCTTGTGAGGATTCAGTGTCATGGCACATGGGAAGGGCTTGCTCAGGGCTGACCCGGGCACAGGTTCTGGGGATGTACGCTAGTGTGGGAGAGTGAGCCTTGCAGGGGCAAGGGCCATGCTGGACCCCTAACCTTTAGCACAATTAATTACACACAACCAACCCTCAACAGATGCTTTTAGGATGGCGTGTCTCGCCTAGCAGACACAGGTGAGTCTGGATCTTCCATCAAGAAGAAAACAGGGGCTGGAGAGATGGCTCAGTGGTTAAGAGCATTGCCTGCTCTTCCAAAGGTCCTGAGTTCAATTCCCAGCAACCACATGGTGGCTGTAATGAGATCTGGTGCCCTCTTCTGGCCTGCAGGCATACAAGCAGACAGAATACTGCATACATAATAAATCCATGCAAGGGCTGGTGGGTTTCCTGGGAGCAGTGGGGCAGTGAGATCGTTGGGCGTCCTTTGGCTGACATTGCTATCCATGAGCATGTTGGAAGTTAAGGAGCAGCCCCGTTGGAGGACAGGGTTGGAGGAGGTAAAAAGCTGGGAGGAGAGGATGGAGAATGGACAGGAGGCAAAGCCAGAGCAAGGCAGGCAGGTTGGTGGGAGAGCATCCAGGTCGTGTCTTGGGGGGCAGGTGGTGAAGGGCTAGCTCAGTTCTGCTCAACGCACCTCACATAAAGCCTTGCACATTCTTCTCAGCACCTAAGCAATCGGGATCAGAGTTGACTGTGACAGGCAGACACACAGAATATTATATACACAATAAATAAATAAATATTTTTAAAAAAAAGAAGAAGAAAACGGTTGACCTAGCTAGTTCATCAAACAGCAAGGTCATTATCACTAGAAGCTGTTCACTCATTCCTTATGTAACCATTTACACTGGAGGCTTCCTGCACAAAGGGCTTATTCCGAGCCCTCTGGGCTAAGTCTCTCACCTTTAACACTGCTGACATTTTGGACTGGCTAACTGTGGCGAGAGGCGCTCTTAGGCATAGAAGGGTGGTCGCAGTATTAGATGTCAGTACGAACCCCCAAATCACGACAGGTAAAATGTTTCCAAGGGCGAGAGCAAACTGTGAAAGCCTGAAGACCTAAGTCTGGTCCCCAGCTCCCATGTGAAAACACTGTGATCCCAGCACTGGAAAGGCCAAGAGAGTCTAATTAACACTGATTACTAGAGCTAATTGGCCAGCCAACCTGGACTAATTGGTGATCTCCAGGCCCCAAAGCAAAATGGGCAGAATTAGAAAGATGGCCAAGTGGCTAAAACACTTAATATTCTTCTAGGGAACCTAAGTTCAGTTCCTAACACCCACATCAGGTGGCTCACAATCATCTATGTTTTAGGGATTTTTATTGCTGTGAAGAGACACCATGATCACAGCAACTCTTAGAAATGAAAACATTTACCTGGGACTCGCTTACAGTTTTAGAGGTTTAGTTCATTATTACCATGGTAGGGAGCATGGCACCTTGCAGGCAGACATGGTACAGGAGAGAGAGCAGAGAGTCTTACATCTTGCAGGCATCAGGAAGTCAACTGAGACACTGAACAGTATTCTGAGCATAGGAAACCTCAGAGTCCACCCCTACGGTGACACATTTCTCCCAACAAGGCCATACCCACTCCAAAAAAGCCACACCTCCTAATTGTGCACTCCCTATGAGATTATGGGGGCCAATTACATTCAAACTACCACAAGCTATACCTCCAGTTCTGAGAGGGTCTGCTGCCTCTGGCTTTCAAGGTCACCTGCACTCATGTGCACATACCTACACACACACACACACACACACACACACGTATTAAAAATAATAAGAATATTCAGGCACTGATAGCACACGCCTTTAATCCCAGCACTTGGGAAGCAGAGGCAGGTGAATCTCTGAGTTCAAGACCAGCCTGGTCTGTAGAGCAAGCTCCCAGACAGCCAAGGCTACACAAAGAAACCTGTCTTGAAAAAACAAAATGATAATAATAATAATAATTAAATACATACAAAGCAAACATTACTCAGGGAATGAGGAGACTTTTGGTCTCCACATGCACATACCTGTACATATGTGTGGCATATACCCCCAGAAGTCCCTGCAGAGCCACAGGCCAGGATTCTGATGCCTGAGACATGACTCCTTAGATTAGGAGCATCTCCTGGGAGCTTGTAGAAATTCAGTGTTTCAGGTGCCACCTCAGGCCTGCTTAGTGGGCATCTGTATTTTAGCAACCTACTCTGTGACTTTTCACCCACAGAACACGGCTATTCATGTGCCACCCCTACCCTGGCTGCACACTGAGATCTTCTCAGGAACTCTGAAAATGTGGATGGCAGAACTCTGTGATAAAGTATCTGCCTAGCAAGCTCAAGGCCCTAGTGTCAATTTCCAATAAAAAAAAAAAAAAAAACTTTAGATGTTTATTGTTTAGTTGAAGATGACATGTACACATTACCACTATGGAGGACGCATGGGAACCTCCCTCACCTCAGTCCTGCCAGCCCCGGAAGCACTGCCATTGCTGCTCCTCAGATGTTTTCTTTTCCACCCTTGCCCTGATACCACGAGAACGTATGATTCTATTCCCTGGAGAAAGCCTTTTGCCTGCCAAGGCAGACAGTATGGCTTCTGCCTTCTATTTACTCAAGATATAGTTAAAGTTTACAGTGGGCTGAATTCAAGAACAAGAGCACCTTGACCTTATGGGAGCTGGGTCAACACCTTGGTGCTATACGCATGTTGGAGCAATACAGGTCTGAAGCGTGTGGGGTGCACTTCATGTGCCTATGAGGAAAACCCAGTGACCACATCTAGAACTTTTGGACAGAAAGCTGTTTTCGAGGGTGTCGCTCCCTGTGTACTTTGGGTTCAAGGCTGATATTTCATCTTAACGTGAGTGGAGGCAATGGCTAAATGTCTTAGAAGGCCTGAAGACATATGTCTTTCTGCCCTACAGCCGTGTGTTTCTGGGTAGCAGTTGAAGAATGTGTCTTACGGCTTAACAACACTGCGCAGACTGTGAGGGGTTAGCTCACAGAGGTTCTTTCTAGGGAAAATAATAAAAAGTTCCTTCAAGTGCACAGTGAGATGGATGCTGTGTTGCGAGTGTGAGGGCTGAGGCAGAGCACGCTGGTGCTGGGTGTGCTATGATGTCCTCTCCAGGTTGCAGAATATACAGAAAACTTACAACTGTGGGCTGCAGAGGAATTTGGGCTCTGCAGACACACAACCTTGTTCTGTATGGCCTTGTAATGTCATCGCTCTAAACCTGGGTCCTCCCATGTCAAGTATGGGTTAAGGCCATGCCTACCACAAGGTTCACTATAAGAATTAAAGGAGGAAAGAAGTAACATAGCGACCCCCACAGAGCGCTGGCCACACATCAGTGCTCACAGAGCTCACCTGGGATCAGGGCCCAGAAGACATCTCAGTCAGTGGAGTTCTGGCTGTGTAGGCATGAAGACCTAAGTTGGAACCTCCATTACTCATGTGGAAGTCAGACAAGGTGGTGTAACCCTAGTACTGGTGGGTGGAGACAGGTCAATCCCTGAAGGTGGCCAGCCAGCCATTCTAGCAAAATCCATGAAGTTCAAGTCCAGTGAGAGACCCTGACTCAGAAAACGAGGTAGAGAGTGACTAAGGAAGATGCTTGAACTTCTGACCTCCATACGTAAGTGTACACACATGCACACACAGTCAAGCACGCGCACACACACATGCACACAAGCTTTTACCTGATATACAGTGCACTTTTGAAGGGAGAAAAGGTGTGCTTTGGTTCCATCGTGGTGGGGAATACATAACAGCAGGCAGAGAAGGCCTGGAGGCAGGAGCAGGAGACTGGCTTGTCACACGTAGGAAACAGAGGGTGAGCAGAAAGTGGGGCCCAGCTATAAAGCCTCCCATTCTCAATGACTGACTTCTCCCAAGGGAGCCTCACCTCCTGAAGATCAGCCTGTCCAGATGGTCCCCCCAGCCTTTGAAGCTTCAGTCTGTGATTGTTGGGCTCTGTACTTTCAGGCCTCCGGCAAGGGAGTATAGTGAAAACACACAATGGAGCAAAACTGCTTGCTTCACGGCTAAGGAGTAACTTGCTTGTTAGAAACGGTGCGGCAGAGGGTTGACGGACAGCTGGTGCTGGTGAAGCCTGGCCCTGAAAGGCTCTCACCCCTTCCCAATGTAACATGCATTCAGTTTGCCTGTCTGAGCTGCCAAAATCTTAAGGGTTCCAGCACTGCTCGAAACCCATGTTCAAAGTCTCCTTTAAGACCCAAGGCAAACCCTGAGCTGTAAGCAGTGGCTGCAAAGACTTCTCGACTTCATGGTTATCGGTGGCCGTATCACTGCCCTATTTCTTGGTTCCTGTGTTAGCCAGTTTCCTGTTGGTATGGAACGCAGAGTTCCAGAGAGCGAGGCCACGATGGTGGGAAGGTACGGTGGCAGGCAGCAGGAGCCGGACACTGACTGTTCACATTTTTTTCTGTACACAGGAAGCAGAGAAAGCCAAACACCGTTTCAAAAATAAGAACTTCTATTGTGTTTTTAGTTTTCTTTAACTGATTATTAGTGGGGGGAGCTCTGAGAAGTCTTCAAGTAATTCCAGTCAGTTATCTGGAACTCAGCCAATGCCTTCCCTCTTCTGGAAAATCTCCCCATACCCAACACTGGGTTAAAGATTCTCTTTCCGTCTGTGTTGGGTGGCAGCCGTCCTCTCCTGGAGGTAGGATTGAGCAGAGGCCTCCACGCATATAACTTCAATCCTAGTGCTTTTTTCAGGCCCCGGAGTGTTACACCTAGCCCGCTATGTGCCTCGAGGAAAGAGAGAGACAACACTTAACGGGTTCCAAAGGTTTAGTAAATCGCCACCTAAGCAGGGCTGCAGGGCAGGGACTTGGGAGACTTTTTCCTCCTGACAGCCCCAAGCAGGGGTGAAAGTGGGGTTCATAGCATAAAATTCACAAACATTTGTTGCCAAGTTACAATTTTCACCAATCAGAAATCAAAGATGAGGGACTTTCCTTGAGGGCCCCATCACTGTCAGCTGACATACAATGCAAGTCTTTCAGTCCAGCCAATCAGATTCATTTGTTCCTTCTGATGTTAGGAACAGCCATAACGTTGCTAGAGAGGGCTAAAGACGCATAAAGACACTTTCTACGGTTTAGGGAGGAGGGTGATCAGCCATTGGAGAGTTCTCAGCCTCCCTAAGGCTTGGGGACCTGAACTTTGTTTCACCCTGCTGGTAAAATGGAGTCTGAAGTCAAAATGGCAGTACTGGGGCCAAGGTGCTTTTGCCTGCTCCCTTCACAAAGGACAGCGAGGTTCCATCAGAGCTCCTTCGGTGGAGCAGAGCTTATGATAGCTGGCATGTCTGTATGCCCAACTCTGAGGCCTGTGAGTTTGAAAATAATGTGTTGAAACTTTGGGTCCCTGTGTCTAAGGGTTCCTTTGTGTTCATTAGCATATCAAAAAGATAGACTTTGTGAGCACTCAGCCCTCTAGCAAGGAGTGTCGTCTTTGTCTAGGGAGGCTTGGCCTTTGTCCTGCTTTGTGTCTTTCCAGTCAGTTATAGCTGGCCTCCATGTTTGCTGATGTAGTCCTCATTACAAGGATCTCTCTGCGTATAAAACTGTGGCATTGCTAGCCCAGGAGTACAGTAACCAATGAAGAGGAAGAAGAAGCAAGTCCTTGGATAGAGTGGAAATTCTTTCCAGCTTCTCGCAGATTCTAATGTTGCTCACAGGGCAATGCCAGGCACTGAAGTCTGTTGGTCTTCTGGTATCACACTCCTTCTTCCTGTCTTTCCACTTGGGATGGAGCTTGTCTTTCCAGGCAGGGTCCTGTCTTTGACATCTTTAGGTCCGAAAGGGCACCTGGGGTGGTGACTGCAGCTATTCAGTGATTTCATTGGTTAATGGTGACTTCTCTGTTGGCCTAGTCCGAGTGCAGTTTTCCAGCCTGCCTCCCGTCTGTGTCCTCTGTCCACCAGATTTGTCCCTTCTCTGCACTGTTGCCACAGCAGGGTATTAACAGAAGCTGTAAACAGAGCAAAACCTCCTTGGTAGACAGGACCAGGCCTTGTATTTCAGAAGACCCTGCCCCCTCTCAGTCTGTCTCCCTCTTGCTTTTACAAGGACCTCTGCGGTTTGACAGGGTTCACTGGGACACCCAGATTACCCAAATGAATCTCCTTATTGTAAAGTCAGATGATTAGCAGCTTAATTCCACCTGCCAAAAGTAACTCAGGGGAGGAGGGGTTTGTTTTAGTTGACCGTTCCAGGTCACGCTCCGTCGTGGGGTGACGCAAAGGGCGAAATTCAAGGAGCTAGTCACGCCACATCCACAGTTGGGGGGAAGAGAGGAAACGAACGCAGCCTGTTTGGGGCAGTACTCAGTGAGCCACCCTACTCTTAACCGTCCAGTACCTCAAACAAGGAAATGGTGCCACCCACGGCAGCCTGGATCTTTTTACACAAATTAACTGTCAAGATAATCCCCCCTGCCCACCGGCCAGCCTGAGCTAGATAATTTCTGGGTTGAGGCGCTTTCTAGGTGGTTTCAGGTCCTGTCAGGTGGACAGTTAAAACTACCCAGCACATCCTGGTTCACAGAATATAGTCACAGACTGGGGTGGGGAGCGGGACTAGGATAGGGGCATCCTTGGCAGGGTGGGGGGTTGGGAGGTGGGGGCATGAGTAGCAGAGGGACCGTCCTCTATTATGAAGCACCAGAAACTTGAACTAGGATCAGCTATTACAGGAATAGCTGATGGCGCACTTAGGCAAATCAGTAGTAGATTGGGGTCCTAGCTTGTGAAATGAGCACAATAATACAAGACCAGCTGGGCGGTGGTGGCGCACACCTTTAATTCCAGCACTCGGGAGGCCGAGCCAGGTGGGTCTCTGTGAGTCTGGTGTACACAGTGAGTTCCAGGACAGCCAAGACTACACAGAGAAATGCTGTCTCAAAAAAATAAATAAATAAATAAACTGGTACCAATACACTCACAACAAGGGAGTGAACCCAGAATCTATTAAATGGGCCTCAAAATGTGACTCTTAGAAGTAGTGCTTTGTTTGTTTGTTTGTTTGGGTTTGTGTGTGTGTGTGTGTGTAGCTTTGGGTTCCTCTGTGTAGCTTTGTGCCTATCCTGGAACTCGCTGGTCTCAGAGATCCACCTGCCTCTGCCTCCCAAGTGCTGGGATTAAAGGCATGTGCCACCACTGCCTGGCCAGTAGTAGTAGTGTTTTTTAAAATACAGAAAACATTTTTGTGGCTGTGAAGTCTACAAATCCTACCAGGGGATTCTCACCTGGGCGCTCCATCCTAGGGCATCTGTTTCTTTAAGGGGAGGAAAGGAAGTGTTGAGTCACAGCGAGTCTTCTGCCCTTTGGTCCCTGAGTCTATAAAACAGAGCAATGGTTTCTTTGACACAAACCTTAAAATAGGAAGCCTAACACCCACATACAGCCACATTCTCTTCTAAGTGGGGTCTAGAGGCAGCCATTTCCAGAGAAAAGGTATGGTGTGGGCAGGGAAGTACCACTTCTGTGTGTAAAGGGAATGCGAGCGAAAGAGTTCGCTTCAGACTCTAAAAGGAAAAACAAAACAACAAAAAAGCAAATAGAAACGTACACAGTCCCTAGAAATAAGCCTGCTTTTGAAGCTGCAACAGCCAACGAGCAGGCAGGACAGCAGCTGTACGAGGTTTACTAAAAGTTTCTGTGGCTAAGCATCCGGAAGGCAGGCAGAAGACGAGGCCAGAGTGTGGTTCCAGGTAGTGTCTCCACCCCACCCAGTTCCAACTTCTTGCTAAGGTTTCTCCCGCTAAGCAGGCAGGAACCAACTCCGCCCCAATCCTTCCTTCACACAGGGGAAAGCGCCGTGGAAAAAAGACTAACAGTAACAAGTTGTTGTGACTCAAAACCTCCTGGAAGAAGTCGGCAGGGCGTTCGGGAACGGGCCTGTCCCTGGGTCCCTAGCCTGCCGGTGCGCTTCGGGCGGGTCCCTGGGTGCGTGTGGGCGCGCCGGGCTGCACATTCCTGGCCGGGGAGGAGAGCGCGGCGGGCGCCCCTGCGAGCAGCTGGCTGCGCTGGCCCCGAGCGCTCGGAGCTGGGGGAGGAGCCTGGCCCGGTCGCCGGCGCTCTCCCAGTCATTGGCCTTTTGTGCAGCAACTTTTCCCGAGCCCTTCGGGGAGCCTGCGCCCGCCCCGCGCCGTTGCCCGGGGAAAGTTTGCGTTTCCTGGGTTCACCCGGTGGGGACCGCGCCAGGCTCGGAGGACTCAGCCTGTCTGGGGGACTCTTTGGCAGTTGCGTCCCCGGAGGAAGGCAGCTACGCGAGGGCCAGCCCCGATCGTCCGGGTAAGTGCGCAGTGGCCACGGCGGGCGCACGTGGGGTCAGGGAGGAGACAGACGAACCTAGGACCTTGGCCGCCAGACAAAGCCGTGCTAGAAGCGGCTGCGAAACTCCTTTCAGCTTTCCTAAGAGGGACTTGTGTAGGAGCTGAAAGTAGCAAAGTACACATTGTGTTCCCCGCCGGCTGAGGCGTGTGTCTGTCAGGGAACTAGCGGGACCCAAGCGTCAGTCCCAGAGGTTGGTTCCCCTGAGTGGGCCACCAGGAGTCAACGTCTGTGGGCGGAGTGTTGGGGTCCTCCAGGTTTGGGGCGGGGGTGGGGTGTCCTTGTCCGGGGGCTGCCTCTATGCCATCTCCGCTGGTCTCTTTTTTTCCTATTCGTGTTGGCCACACCGGGTCTCTTGGGGGCACCTTTGGCAGCCACTTAGATGCGTGTGTGTGAGTCTTAAAGATCTGCACAGGATTTCCTCCGAGTTTGAGACTTTTAAATTCTCGAACAGTTACGTCAGCACAGCCGAGTGCACTTCTGGGCTCCAGCGCGGCACGTGACCCAGCCTCGCTTCCCCCTAGGCGTCCTTTGGCTCAGCTGGGCTGCCACAGGGTTCTCTGACTCTGGGTGTCCTGCACACGCAGCCTCAGGAGTGTTGTGATTGTCGCCGAACACCCCTCTGTTTGCCTGCTGTTCTCCTTTGTCCAGCGTTGGTCTTTTCTTAAAAATCGGCCACGGGGCACCGCTGTCTTCTGGGGTCAGATACAGAGACAGAAGTTTGTGGTAGCTGGTTGAAACAGAACTGAAACATTATGGGAGGTGGTAGAAGCCTACTGAAGAGGAGAGAGGGAGGGGCTTGCTGAATGGGCTTACATGTGCACCTGTGACCACCCCCGGTCCCCACTGAACAGCACATGGAAAACTGAGGGTCCCAGGGCAGACTGCTGCCTGTTTTAGCCCAGGGAAGTTTCAAAGGTACGTTCTTTCATAGGAAGCAATGACTTTGACTTCCATTCAGAACCACATGTAGCTGTCAGAGGTGATTCTTCTCTCCTGCTTTTAGGCTGACAGTTGGAAATTAGAAGGGAGGACTAGGGCTGGGCTGGGCTGGGCAGTGAGTGGAAGGATTCCCATGGGTCTCCTCTTCACAGACCCAGCCCTGTCCTAGGCATTTCCCTGTAAGGAAACTTGGAGCAGGAAATAGGCCAGCAGCTGCCCCCTTATACAGTCACCAGAGTGGATTCGGTCTCCAAGCCTCCTCCTCCTCCTTCGGCTCTCTCTCAGATGTTAGGTTCCGAGTTGAGTGCATTGCTGTGTGCCTGTAATCACAGCTATTTGGGATGGCGTGTTGGACGACGGCCGGCAAGGCATAACAAGACCCGTCTTAAAAAGAACTCTGAGGTTAGCTCAAGCCTCAGACTAGGTCTGAGAATACGGCCTGCGTATATTCCAGTCATTCATATACAGGCATTTTTGTTTACGGGAATCTGCAGGTCAAATATTGGGCCCCTGTGAGACCTAGACAGAATTAGTCCACCTCATCCCTGTCTCTGGTGCTTGAATGCTTGGACTATTTAAACTGGAAGGAAGCTTGAAGATCAAAGTTTCCCTTTTCAGTTTTGAGAAAGAATTGTCAAAGGAGTCCAGGGTCTTATCCAGGGTCATACTTCAAAGTGGGGTTCCAATGCAGGACCCCAGACACCTGACCTGGTGCTGTTGGTGCTAGGTCCCGCAGGCAGCCTCACTGGTTTTATTTGGTATTGCATTGGTGTTATTTGTTTGTTTCCATGGAGACAGACTCCGAATGAGGAAAGACACATCCAGTTCACAGAACCACTCCAATAAAGTGACAGGGCCCTGGGTGGTTGATGGCAGTTGAATTAAATAAGATGCTAATTTGGCCTTCAAAACTCCAAGGGTGTGTGTACTGGGGTGGGGTGGCAAGAGTATCTATCTGATGGGCAGACTTTGGTTGAGGCTGAAGCTCCCTGGAAGGGATATCTCGCAACACAGAAGGCTATATCTGGTTGCCTTGGTGGTTGAGTGCACTGTAGGCATCTGGTGGGTGAGAGTCGGGGGCCTGCACAACCTGGAATTGCTACTCAGAGTACCAGTAGTGACCTACATAGAGGACTCTGCCAAGGTCACAGGAATTCAAGAGAGAATCTTTAGGAGGGCTAGGAAAGGAGCCTATGGTTGCCAGGCTTCAAGTCATAGGTGCAGACGAGGGCAGCCTGCAAGGAGAGCTTGGTGGAAAGCATTTGCATGCGGATATATACCTGATTGTGTGTGTTTCCTGGGATTTGATCCTTGGATGGTTGGGGTTGGTCTGGCAGACTCTTGTTCATGTGCACCGATTATCAGAAGGTTTGAGAAGCCGGCAGCACCAATGGTTGAGGGTGTCCAGAGGAGCACACCTAAGAAAGAGAAGGCTTCAGGGCCAGATCCCCTGATCTCTCCCATTGAGATCCAGGTCTGTGAAATCCGACCGGGTGATAGAGATTTTTCCCCATTGAGGCCACAGTCCTTGGTTTATAACCTTAATAATCACTGCCGCAGCAACTCCCCGGGATGACAAAACATCCCACAGATTATGAAATCATTTGAGAGAAACGAGAGGCGTGAAAACAAAGACCCAGGGAAACAAAAGATTGCAAGGCAGAGCCTCTAAAAATAGAGCAAAGACCTCAAGAAAATACAGCGATTGACTGTGGTGAAGGTTCCACTCCAGATATGGGGACGCTCAGCACCGCCCCCCCCCCCTGCCGCCCCTGTGTACTGTGTTATAGGATTTCAGCTTCTCATTTAGCTAATGGATTCAGGACTGCCAGTTAAGAGAGAGCAATGTTCCCAAGACTCGTTACCCCTGGGCTGGGGAGGGGCAATGTAGAGACTGTCTAGGATTTAGAGACGTAGACCCAATCTTGTGAGCCCTGTCTCTCCTCTTACAAGCTGTGTGACCTTGAAGGAGTCGTGAACCGTCTAGGAGTCTTTTTTTTCTACTCTTTAATTAATGGTAGGGGTAATGTGAAGTAGGTCCCTCTGCTTCACAGAGCTGTGGATGCTGGTGAAGCCATGTATGTGAAGATACTGGAAAACCGTAGAGTGCTTTGCAAAGGGACAGCCATTTGTGTTAGTATTTTTACCTTATAGTTAAAGGTGCCTGTTTTTTGGAGATTTCCTGGTGTCTCCTGTACTCTGTATTCCTTCTTCTTCTTCTTCTTCTTCTTCTTCTTCTTCTTCTTCTTCTTCTTATTATTATTATTATTATTATTATTATTATTATTATCATTATTAGTTATTACTGAAAATGTAAGCAAGGGGTGTAACTGGAGGTTTCTCTCCTGCCTGCCAATTCCTGAATAATCACTCTGAGGCTTACTATTAATTACAAATTGTTTGGCCTATTAGCACAGGTTTATTCTTTTTTTTTTTTTTTTTTTTTAGTTTTTAGAGACAGGGTTTCTCTGTGGCTTTGGAGCCTGTCCTGGAACTAGCTCTGTAGACCAGGCTGGTCTCGATCTCACAGAGATCCGCCTGCCTCTGCCTCCCGAGTGCTGGGATTAAAGGCATGCGCCACCATCGCCCGGCCCACAGGCTTATTCTTAACTAGCTCTTACAACTAAATTAACCCATTTCTATTCATCTGTGTATTGCCACATAGCCGTGGCATTACCTCACATCTTGCTTCTCCTGGCGGCTGCTGGCATCTCTCTGACTCTGTCTTCTTTTTCCCTATCTCTCTGCTTGGATTTCCTGCCTAGCTATAAAACACGTTCACAGCATACAGAGAGCCATCCCACATCAAAGGGGGCTACACACATTAGAAGCTACTAACTAACCTTACAATCTAGCCCCAAATTATGGGGACTCCCTCATGTTTTTCCTGGATCTGGCACAAGTAATGGATGTGTAACCTGATTCTGCTCACAGAGGGCAAATCTAGGCAGAAGGAGCTGGGAAGAGAAAGCCATTGCTCCCCTGGCTCACGTCTCTGCTGTCTTCAGCTCCATCATTTCTCTCATTTGGGGTCTTGTCCAGCCCATACTAAATCCCCCAAGGTCTATGAGTCATCTCCGTGTCTGTACCATTTAGACTTAAAAGTAACCACTCACCACTCTTGCATATAAGGCCCTTGAGAGCATGGGGGTGTCAATCATACCTGTTCCTGGGGAGCACACAGTAAGAAGATCTGTCTGGTCAGCTCAGTAGCATCTTCTCCCTGCTTCCTGGTATTGTGCACACGGCCCTTCCTTAGCCCCAGGCTTCCGGTGGCTTTTGGTGTCCAGCTCCCTTTTTCCCATGCTAGCTCTTCCAACCTTGACTGAACTGTGTTCATCCCTTGAGGTTCCTGGCCTAGGAGTGTTTCTAGACAAATCTGCTCATGTTACCTGAACCCTAAGTCGGATCTGGTTCTGGGAGGTCCTGCTGGCTCTGGGGAGACTCCTATGTGGGGTGGGGGAAAGTTCAGTTTTGGAAGAGATGATTGCTTGCCCTTGAGGGGGGCATTTCAGTTTATCATGGGGTGATTGCCTTTCAGGCTCGCTGTTCCTTCTGGCATTTGGAAAAGGTTGTATGTCTTTCTTGGTGTCTTCAGCATCGAAAGAGGCCAGGAAAGGGTCAGTAAACTTAGGACCACTCAACTTTGTATTAGTAATTTTCAGACAGGTGCACCTTAAGTGAGTCGCTGTTTACCTGCAGAGTTGAACAGGAATCTGATCCAGAGGTTACAGCAGCCAAGACAGACAGCTGTAGGCCCAAGCGAAAAGTCAGTGCTTTTAGCCGAAGTTGCTTCTAAGTCTCCGTTCCCCTTCCATTTCCCAGGTTGTCCTGTGGTCTGCCATGTCTCGAAGTCTGTCTCCTTGAGGTCTGACCAGACCCTGCCTCATTTTTCTCTGTGCTCATCAGAGCTGTGTAGAATGTTTCTCTAGAAGTTCCTCACTGGCTCAGGAAATAGATCCTCTCCCCTCTTGACTTGTGAGGGAAGGATTTACTTCAGTCAAGAACACAGCCTTCTCTTGTGACAGAGAAAATATTGAGTAATTTTACTGCTTGTGTGGTTTTGGAACCAGAGAAAAATCTGTGATTCTGATACATTTTTATTTTGTTGTTTATTTCAAAGTTGTCTCCCGTCTGCATAAAAATACTGGAGGCCTCTGCCCCGCCTTCAGCTCATTATGTATGGGTTGAATGCCTGTTCTCAGTTCAAACATGTTAGGGGGTGTTGGTTCTGGCCTGAATCAAGTGGCGGCCAGAAAGAGCCAGAGCAGACAGTTATGAACATCATCTCGCTTGGGCCACTTCCCTGTATCCGCATGATATTTATGACCCAATCCTGCTTCCTGAGGACCCATGGTGAGGAGAGTGCCATTCCTTACTTGGGGATTTTATTGTATAGACCAGGCTAGCCTGGAACTCAGTATGTAGTCCTGTAGTTCAGGCTGGCCTCTGACTCACAATCTTCCTGTTTCTAACTTCCTAATGCTAAGGCTACTGGTGTAAGTTTCCACACCTGGCTAACCTATGTTTTTAAACCGTGCTTAAACAAATCACTTGGCGTAAAGTTTTGCATCTTAACTATACAGCTAAGTGTTCAGCTCAACAGTGTTGATGCAGTGATATTATTGTGTGGTCAGATCCCCAGTACTCACATACCGTATCAGTCTAATCTCTCTCTCTCTCTCTCTCTCTCTCTCTCTCTCTCTCTCTCTCTCTCTCTCTCACACACACACACACACACACACACACACACACACACACAATCATGTCTATCACTATGTGGTAGCCACCATTCTATTTTTGCTTCTATCAATTTTAATATTTTGTTATTTATTTTTCCTTTTTTTGAGATAGAGTCAAGTAGCTCAGGCTGGCCTCTAACCTCTAACTAACTCACTGTGTAGCAGAGGCTAACTCTGAGCCCTTCTTCCTCCTGCCTCCATCTCCTGAGGGCTAGCCTGCACCACTGGTTTGTTTTATTCTGTGCTGGGATGGATCCCGCAGCCTGTGCGAGCTAGGCGGACACTCCCGCAGCTGAGCCCCGTGCTCAGAGCCCTTTCATCATTTTTCAGGTAATGCATTTTGTCCTTAGGTCGCAGCTTCAGAAACAAGGTCATAATAGTTTAATGAGCTTGCTTAAGATTACGAATGGCTAGTAAACTGTCCAGCTGGGTCAGAGCTTTACTCTGGGCTCCACTTGAGGTCCTTGCCAACTCAACCCAATTCCCAGCGACTCCTCCATTGTTTGAATTCCGTGCTGTATCCTGGGAGAAGCAATGCACCTGTGTATTTGGTGCTGCGAGAGAGCAGGCCCCAGCGGTGCGGGGGGGGGGGGGGGGGGGGGGGGGGGGGGGGGGGGGGGGGGGGGGGGGGGGGGGGTGGTAAGGAGGTGGGGATCCTAACTTGAAGGATCTGCAGGTGCTAAATGAGCCTTGGCTCTGTGCTGCGCTTCTTTGATTAGGGAACAACTGTGTCATTATCTGCCTGACCTAGAAGGGTTTATGTCTTAGTCTTTTGAGAAACGTGGCGGCTGCTCTCTGCTCGTCCTGAGAATATCTCCTCTCCTGAGCTCCTCGTGAAACCCAGACCTGAGTTCATTAACCAGGAAGGTATGGGAACAAAACAGCTTGGTTTGGAGGGATGGTTAAGTTGTAGATTCGAAGGCTTCCTACCATCTGCTGTCCCGCCTTCCTTTCCAGGGTCTCCTGGGTGGCCCAAGGCTGGGGTCAGCAGGTCACACCCTGTCTCCCGTTCCTAGTCCTCACCCTTGAGGTTGCTCCAAAATGTGGACCTGCTCCCCTGTCATTTTTCAGCCCAACCAGGGGGCTGTCCTGCTAGAGCTTTGGGTTTCTGATCAGCATTCTTTGGATTAGGTGGGATCCGTAAGACCGAACAGGCCAAATCTTCATATTGTGGGACGATGTCTGGGGCCCTGGAGAGGAAGGCCTCTGTGGCTCACTGCTCAGACTTCCTGGAGGTAGCTCCCCATTGGCTCTTCTGCACTTCCTGTTACTAGATGCTGCTGCGACCACCATAACCTGTATGGGATCTGAGATCTCAGATCTGGAGCTGGAACAGCTCGGATGGAATGTTCTGTCGAGTGTCTAGGGTGGAAGGATTTTATATTGGTGACACAGTAATGTGTCACAGTTAATGACACACACTGAGTTACACAGGAAAAAAAAAGTTTGTTTTGTTTGGTGGCTCTATCCGAGGTCAAAGGGATGCCTCAGGTGATAGCCTTCTCATCGCCACGGCAACAAACCAGTGCCGGGCATCCCATGACAAGAGACTGGGAGTATGTGAGAGGCCTAGCCAGACTGACTTTTATAACAGATCCACTCTCAAGATAATCCACTAATCCATTAGAGGCCTAAATGGGTTAATCCACTCCTGAGGGCAGAGCCTTAATTACCTT